CACTGACACCTTATGCCTGGTTTAAACTTCTGCGTTGAGTGCTTCATCAGGCCCATGGCTACAGCACTGCTCCCACAATCGTCACCGCTACCAAGCCGACCAATCAAAAAGCTAGCGCTACGCGTCACTGCGTCAGCATTAAGGCAGATATATATACTTTTTCATCGTGATCAGCGTGACCCATGTCGCAAGCCTTCCGCGTAACCATGCATTTTTATTTCTGCATGCTGTTTGTGTTGCTCTGCAATAACACTTCTGAATCAGTAGCTGTCAGTAGGTTTTTATGTTCCTCTGTGTCAAGTTTCTTCGCTGGTGTTTGTTTATTCTAAACACTGGCCTTTCTCAGTATGCGTTCTTCAGCGATCTTGCGTTCTTGTGTAACGTCATCATCACCTGCCAAAGTTCTGTTCCAATACTCAAGATCGCAAGAACAGAGGACGCATGAAACTTCCCAGATGTGTTCTTGATATCGAGGACGCACCGATGCAGACTTGAGCACTGAACTCGCTCTGGAAGTCCCAGAAGTCATTGCGACTGGAGATGGGAAGCGCAGCGTTTTATTTAAAGTTTTTATTAAAGTTCAGAGAACTAACTTATTAACCTCAGGAGTTTCCTTAAATAAAGCGGTGAAAGTAAACATTACCATGGACATCTTAATAAAGGAACAAACACATTTAGGGTGGTTGTCTGCTGAAATTCGCATTAAAATCTGTTTTATTTATGTTGTGCAACTTATATTTATAATGTATATATTTATAATATATAACTCTTTATGCAGAGTATATATTTTGAAAAGGGGGAAAAACAATAAATCGAATGCTGTAATTTTTAAATAATTAACATTTAAAATGTGTGAAGGTCACGTGACCATCAGAACAAAGGCAGCATCTCATTTCTCACAGGATGCGTTCTCTGTTCTCGTGGTCTTCCAAATTGGTTCTTCTGAGGACACCTGGCAAGACCGGTCTCCACAAGACTGCAAGTCCACTCTCTGCGTTCTTGGAATTGAGAAACAGCCACTACCTTAAGGCTGATTTATACTTCTGCGTCAAACACCGGCGTATGCTACGGCGCTGACGCATAGCCCTTCGCCGTGGCCGTCACTGACGTGCACCTCTCAAAAATTGTAACTACACGTCGCAACGACGCGTAGCGTAAGCTCTGTGATTGGTCGGCTTGGTAGCGCTGACGATTCTGGGCGGGACCAAGAGCCGCGCGAATGGCGCGAGCGATTGTTTACAAGTGTGGAGTACCGTGAAGGAGCTCCGGATGGAAAGTTTTGTTTTGTGTTTACCTCATAGTTAAAGTTGTTGCACGTCCGCCGGTTCTTGCCTCAAAATGAGCGAGTTTGAGTCACTTGTACATCCCGGAAGTGTTCAGGAAAAGCAATAAAGCAGCGAAGAAACTCGACACAGAGGAACATTTACACCTCACTGCCCACTAGCGTTTCAGAAGTGTTAATGCAGACCAACAGAGACAGCGCGCAGAAGTATAAATGCACAGCCACGCGCGTTGCCTGCGCCGTGGGTTACGCCGGTCACCTGACGCAGAAGTATAAATCAGGCTTTATTGTACAAGTAGCTCAAACTCGCTCATTCAGAGGCGGGAACTGGGAGACATGCAACAACTTTAATCATAAGATGAACACAAAGTTACATTTTTTTGGGAGGTGTGCGTTGGCGTAAGACACGGCGAGAGCTATGCGATCGTGCAAAGTCTGCATCGGACTATAAGAGTGTGCTTGATGCAGAAGTACAGAGCCTTTAGTTGTTGTCTTATGTAAATCCCTATAGAAAACATATGATAGTTGTAGGAGCCATACATTGTATATTGGCGATTGGCCACAAGGATCAGACCGTAACCTAACAACTTAAGGTAACAGAGAAGTGTGCATTATAGATTAAGGAAAATTGATGGAGGAATTCTGTTGATTGGAAAATAAACACGTTTTATTTGCATCTATTTTGCCTACGGACTCTGACTTTTACGCTTAAAAAAACGTACTTGCTCTACCAACAATAGCGTTATTTATTTATTTATTTATTTATTTATTTTTTATTATTGAAAAGCTGCTACAATAGTAATTATTTTTTAAGAGGAAAAATACCAGGGCTATCTCATGGCAAATCATAACTTTTTTTGATTTTAGCGGCTAATTTTTGTGAATTTGTACGATCTCATTCGTACAATTTCGAATGATTTGCTTATCCCCCAATGACGATGGTTTTTTGGGGCGGGATTGGCTGCCACGCCTCCTTTATCAAATCGTACGAACATTTTGACATATGACTGAACTAATATGAATTTGTACGAATTAGCCAATAAACTGGCAAAGCATAAAATACTTACATTTCCTCGTGAGATCACGCTGAAAATACGTATAAAGTTCTGTACTAAAATATTTCTCATAAAAAATCTGCTTTTTCGCCTGATATTTACTAAGTCATAAACTCTGCGAGCTTCATTCGTTTAAAGCGTCTCGATAGGGTTTGGAACAGATTGTACATCAGTACTCATTTCTTTGGCACAATGAAACTCCAAATCAGCTTGTTTTCAAGGCCCTGCATATTTATTTGCCCACACACACTCAGTGTTAAAAATATGTTTCATAGCAATATATAAAGCTCTCTCGCCCTCTCTCTTTCTCCAACTCAGTGCATTAATATCCCCACAGGGGCGCTCTGTGTGTTTGTTCCAACGCCTGCGTTTAAGGAAAAAACGGCAACACACAAACTAAACTGGGACAGTTGGGAAATGAGGTACACATGGTTCAGTTAACACTCATGCATTGGTTTCCCAGCCCCAGAGAAAAGCTTAGTGGTTTTCAATGTTAAATTATTCATCGGATGACACGTTCTTAAGTTACACTCAACAAATAACACTTGTTTTATGGACAGAAGTAACAAGAACTTGTGTCTTGCTATGTACAATTGATAACCTCAGTAAAGACGCATCTCTGTCACCCCATTTACCTTTTATATAGTGTACTAAAAAGCCCCTCATTCAGTCCCATAATGCACTGCAACCTTTATAAGCAATAGCGTGGTTCTGAATGATTTCTGATGGTGTTCTAAATGGTATACTGTCAGTGTGTTACTAATGGGATATAATTGCAAGGGCATTTCGGAGAGAAAAACAATCATGGCGACCATATTGAAGTAGCATTCCAAACCAAAGTGGCGAGTTTTGAGTTTGGGCCCTTTCGAATGAAGGATTTTGAAAACATATATGGTCTTTGGTGTCACACACTGCACTCAATTTGGAAGGGCTCATTCCTGTGCTGTGATCCCCTTAGAGCAGTGGTCACCAAACTTGTTCCTGGAGGGCCGGTGTCCTGCAGATTTTTGCTCAAACCCTAATCAAACACACCTGAACAAGCTAATCAAGCTCTTACTTGGTATACTTGAAACATCCAGGCAGGTGTGTTGAGGCAAGTTGGAGCTAAACCCTGCAGGGACACCGGCCCTCCAGGACCAGGATTGGTGACCCCTGCCTTAGAGGGATTAGGGCATAGGGATGAACCTTTCCGAATGGAACCCAGTGCAAATGTTGCCCTCTGAACGGCACTTTGGTTTGGAATTGTACTTCAATATGGAGGCCCTGATTTTATTTTATTTTTTTCGCTCCAAAGTGCTCAAAACTGGCCACTTTGTAGGGCCCTTTGAAATGGAGGATTTTATAAAATACAACTGATTGGATACTTCAGGCTTTAATCCTATAAGCAGGGAATATGTTTGTCACACACTGCACTCAATTCGGATACTCCAAAGGGATTAGGGCATGGGGTCAAAATCGATCCTGGAGGACTGGCGTCCTGCAGAGTTTAGAACAACCCCAATTAAACACCTGAATCAGCTAATCAAACTCTTTCTAGGTATACCACAAACTTCCAGGCAGCTGTGTTGAAGAAAGTTGGAGCTAAACTATGCAGGACACTGGCTCTCCAGGATCGAGTTTGTGCACCCTTGAATTTGAGCATAGGGATGAACCCTTCTGAATGGAACCCAGTACAAATATTGCCCTTCAAAGGGCTCTTTGGAGTACAAACAATTATGGCCACCATATTGATGTGTTGTTCCAAACAGAAGTGTTTAAAATTGGCCACTTCAAAGGGCCCTTCGGTATGAATGATTTTGAAGGGTACAACTGATGCACACTTCAGGCCCCCATGATCCTTTGCGCAGGGAAGAAGTTTGGTGTCTGACATAAGTTCCATTCAGAAGGGCTCATCCCAATTCCCTAATCCTGCTGTCACTCTGGAGGGTACACCAGAAGGGATTAGGGCATAGGGATGAGCCCTTCTGAATGGAACACAGTGAGAGCTTTTCCAGGAGTTGGCGGCCAAATTGTGGGTCCAAATTGGCTTACTTGTTTACATCAGCACACCATTAAGTGGACTTTATTAGTAAACTAAGTCAATGAGGCTGTAAGGGGCGATTTCAGACAAAGCCACAGTTAAGGTCCTTAAAACATGTCAGTTTGACTTGCAGTGCGTTCCTACTGGCACGTTGCGAGCCCAGTTGAGCGATCATTTACAGTTCATTCATATGGAAGTTGAGCTTCATGCACAACATGAACGTTCACACCAATCCTCGGAATGAATGTATTTAAAATGCTCAATCCCCTGCAATTGCACTGTGCCAGTGAAATCGCAACTTTTCACAAAACAACAATGTTCTCGTACTAGATAAGTAGAGCAAAACAAATCTCTTAAATACAGGGGAAATGAAGCAAGAATAGCTGGCTAGCCAGTTGAGTTTCTGTTTACTTTGCACCAATTCTGGGTCTTGGGTAAAAAAAGTGATTAAAGTCAAGTTACCTTCATGTTACCTAAAACCCAATATTGGTGCCATCTAAACTAAAACGTAACTGGCTAGCCAGCTAATAAACATTATTGTACAGGCCCCAGATGTCTCACATGAAGTAAATACAGCACACCGAGAGTGTTTTCCATATTGAAACATGGTTCTTGGAAATCTTAAGTTCAGCTACAGTAATAGTCAAACAGTAGACTCTTTAGGACCTTCCTGGGCTGCGCTCCTGCAACCGTAGAGCCACTTAATGACGCGCGCATTCCTCTCAATAATAGACACACCTGTCGGAATCTGCTCTGCAAGTTCCTCTTGGAAAATCCCTTCTCCAGAGTGTCTGGAAAACTCACTAGGCTCCGATCCGCCTCCTCCGACACTCCTAAGTAGCAGCGAGAGCGTGTCGACTGAACTGGCACCAGCTAGAAAGTTCTCCGGTCCGAGCCTCTCCACCATATCAAAGTCTAATCCACAGTAATCAAAGAAGCGCTCCTGCTCAGATATAGCTAGCGAGCACCGAAGTCGCAATTCTGACTTTGAGCGTTTCATGTTGGTGCGCTTCCAAGGAATGACGGGCTTCCAAGGGTCCATGTCATTATTGTTAGAGTTCCTTGTGCTATTTCGTAAACAAATCTTCGGTTGCTTCTCCTCGTTGTTGTTTTGAATCTCTGCCGATGAGTGTTCTCGCTCAGATTTGCTTGAACGTCTGGTCTCGACTCCACCATCGACAGTGTCTTTATCATTGGACCAGGACATTCGAGAATCCCCGTCTCGAGAGGATGAAGCCTTCTCCTCGTTTATCACCGTTTTTTGAGCCACATCATTGACGCTACTCTTTTCTCGCATGGATCCCTGGAAGAGCCGTCGCACGAAGCTGTATCCCTTGACCTCTATGTTACCGTTGATGTTTTCGCCGGGACTTTTGCATTCTTTCTTCTGTCTGTAAATGACCAGGGAGTCTGGACGCAGCATGCGCTTGCCGTTGCTTCTGCGCATTATTGGCGCACTATGTGGAGCCACTAATGGAGTTCTTGGGGAAAGAACTGGAGGCTTGTTTGCATTATTGTTTGTTTCCACATCAGATTCATTCCGACAATTCTCTTTCCTGGAGTCATCCTCATTTTCATCCCTTGAAAATGATGGTGCGGAGAAAGGCACCATTTGATTTCGGGGCAGGAGAACGGGTGTTGATGGAGTGGAGGTGGTGAGGTTGCGACGCGGGACTGGTGGAGGGGTTGCACAGGGAACTAACACAGGTTCCTGCTTGGTGTTTATAACCTGTTGTGTCTTGACGTACTTTGCCTTGTCAGCTTCAAGTCGTTCTACGGCGCTGATCGAACGGCCTCTGCTTCCGGCGTCCATCTGCCTACGCAGGTAATCAGGCCCCTTGTTTAGGAGGCGCAGTGGTGAAGGCGAACCAATGGGAGTTAAGGGCTTCATTTTTGAGTTCTGGAAAAATTCATCCAAACTGAAAGGACAAAGCAGTTGCTTTGCCCTCTAAAAAGAAGGAATGAAATGTCAATCTGTCAATCTCAGAATACTAGCAGTATAGATATCACTTTAGGGATCCATTTATAGGATCCCTATACATGTAGATGTTTAGGCATTTGGAGAATCTGCTATAACTTTCTGCAGCTAACCTCTTCACTGTGTGCTTTTGGAAACAATCCAATGCCTAAATTCAGTGTTTAAACCAGAGATACATAAGGGCAGGGCATGGGGAAATCTTTTTTGTCACAATCCAAGGTCACAGATCTCAAATGAGACGTTCTCTTCACCACAGAGTATCAGAAATAGCTGTCAGTGTTCATTTTTCTCTTTCTCTCCCCCCTTGTTTCGGCTCTTTTAACTTCCTTTCTTCTGTTGATCTTTTCAGAGAAGGTCGTCTAAGGGGAAGAGAGCTAATGAGCTTGATTATTTGCTTTTTGATAGCAGTCTGAGGTCTTTGGGTTGGGCTCCTATTGTCCTGCGGCGTTACGGTTGGGCTGACCTATAGATCTGGCACCGGGGCAACTTCGGAGATTGATAGACTTAGGTCCTGTCCTTCTCCCTGTACACCTGGATCCCTGCGGAGACAAAAAACATAGAGGCACTGTTTAGTTTCTAAGCATTTCTCAAGGGAGATCGGCTCGTGTAAATCATAAGCCATATGGCAGCACAGATAGAACTCCCTGTAGCCTTTTGATGGAGTTGCCAGAAATTGATGTCTGGGGCCGCAGGCAGTGCCATTAGCTCATGCATGGACTGAGTTGACTTCACAGTGCTCACCCATCGAATTAGTCCTAAATAACTGCTCACTCATATAAATCTGCTGTCCTGCACAAAAACGGTGCAGTTTTAGCCCTGTACTAATATGCATAATTCATGACATGCACTGCGAGGCTTGGATTGACATTATAATGTACAATTGTTCCCATTTACATTCAGTCTATTAAATGTGCATTCAGACTGCAGGGGTAATAGCCTTCACCATCAGCATTAGCTTAACCCGCATGCTACATTTGCATTCCTTGAGGGCTTTGCTAAATAATGCATGACTATGCCCATATTTGAGACCCCGAAATCAGCCTATAAAAACCTTAACTGCATTTCATCTGCATAGTTTTACTGCATCACAGCAATAAAAACCCAGGGAATGTGATTGCAAGGCAAGAGTTTGAGCTTAAAACAGTTTTGACTGCATGGTTGGTTCTCAAAGGGAATACATTCAAAGCATGACGCATCAAATACTATTTTTGTACTCCCTCGCAGGAAAAAAGACACAATACAGAGCATTTGAAGTGTATATATCCCTGTGACCTAGTAAACGGGAACAACTGCAGAACTTTCATTGTGTGTTGCCAGTTTCACTATGAGGAGAAGGCATTTAGAGCAACTAAAAGCAGATTTTTTTTTTTTTGCTTCCACTTAAAAAAAAAAAACACCACAACAAAGACGCAAATGTGAAGCTCTAACTTGAAAGAGATCTCATACACATATCTAAGATGGATTTTTACCGCTCCACCACATTGCCGCTTATGTATCTAGACCCCCCTCTGAAAGCCTTCGCTATAAATCCAGTCAAAAGGGGAACTGCAACATTTTCCAGATGTCAGACTGTCCGGGAAAAGCAGCTATTGTTTGGGAAAGTTCCGGGAAAGAATTCTGAACAGGTGTTGAGCATGAGATGGATTTGGATTTAGGGACTTTCAGAAGGACTGGAGCAACAGGGGGTCTAAACTCAGAAAACACCACTTGTTTAAGCAGTTGTGGATCAGCAATGCAGCTACAGACGTTTTCTCGTTATTTTTCAACGTTTACTTTCATGATATTTAAATTCTACATTTGGTCTACAGAAACCCTTCCCTCAGGCAATCCATCTGATGAACATCACTACTTGCTATAAGGGCTGCTCGATTATGGGAAAAAACATAATCACGATTATTGTGGTCATAATTGTAATTCAAAACGATTATCAGTTGAAGTCAAAATTATTCATCATCCTGTGAGTTTATTTTTATATATAAATATTTCCCAAATGATGTTAAACAGATGATTTTTTTTACAGTATTTCCTATAATATTTTTTTCTTCTGGAGAAAGCCTTATTTGTTTTATTTCAGCTAGAATAAAAGCAGGTTTAAATATTTTGAAACCTATTTTAATAGCTCGATATTATTACCCCCCTCAAGCAATATAGATGTTTGATTGTCTGCAGAAGAAACTACTGATATACAATGACTTGTCTATTTACCCTAATTAAGCCTTTGTGTCACTTTAAGCTGAATACTAGTATCTTGAAAAACACTTAGTAAAATATAATGTACTGTCATCATAGCAAAAATAAAATTAATCAGATATTAGAGATGAGTTATTAAATCTGTTATGTTTAAACTGTGCTTAAGCATCTTCAATGTATTTTTGATTTTATTATTGATTAATAATAAAAACAGTCTTAATTCTCAACTTGTGTGTTTATTAAACAAAGTGAAGTTTATTCATTAACTAATTTCGAGAGGATCACGAGCTTATGATTTATCACGGCCGGTCTCGCATTTGCTAATCACTATCTTCCAATCATATGAGTCCTATAAGCTACTATAAATAACCACAGTTTTCAGTCCACTTCATCTCCGTTTGGAAGAAACCCCCCTTCCTCCCCTATTCTCCTCCTTTACCTCTGATTGGGCGGCACGGCGGCCCAGTGGTTAGCACTGTGAGCCCCACAGCAAGAACACTGCCAGCCCTGATTCCACAGGACCGGTGGGTGTTTCTGTGAGGAGTTTGTATGTTCTCCCTGTGTCCGCGTGGGTTTTCCCCGGGTTCTCCGGTTTCCTCCCACCATCCAAAGACATTCAACATACATAACAATCAAGCTTTGTCTAATCCCTTGTGTTCCCTTAGCTACCGCAGCAGGGGAGTTCTGAGATCCACCGAGCTCAGGCTCCCCTCTCGCTCTGCCAACAGGAGGAAGCGCCGGGCTCGAGGAGCCCTTGAGCTCGGGGCTCTCTCCCGGGACAGCATGCCAAACAAGCTTTTATAAATCATCAGCTAAGTGTGAACTCTTGAATGAGGGTTAATATGAAAAATCACTAAACACCGCGCTCTGACACAAATGTGTATGTATTTGACCATTAAAGCGCTCTCATTAAGAGGCCGTTAGATTTGGGTGTGTGCTGCTGTCTGAGGGCAAGCGCGGCACACGCACGCACACACACACACATACACACACACACACATGCGCTACCTGTCTGAGGCTGAGCACGGAGCGCACACACACAACAGCACGTGCTCTTTTGCGCTTTTAAAAATATAAATGATGCGCATCCCGTGCTGCAAAAGTTACATTACAGCACATGCTTTTAGTCATTTTCACGTGGAACTGAGCTTTGCACAGCAACACATGTACAACTGGAAAGGGGGCGGGATATGCTGGAAAAATCATTTATTTAGATTAATGGTTTTTCATAATCGTTACAAGCCAAAATTGAAATCGGATTTTCGAATAATTGCACAGCCCTACTCGCTATACACTTTTTATACACATATACACTTATTCAACAACACACTTTACATGCCAATTTGCACACAATATAACGTTGTATATAATAGTAATATAGAGCGAAGCAGTGGCGCAGTAGGTAGTGCTGTCGCCTCACAGCAAGAAGGTCGCAGGTTCGAGCCACGGCTCAGTTGGTGTTTCTGTGTGGAGTTTGCATGTTCTCCCTGCATTCGCGTGGGTTTCCTCTGGGTGCTCTGGTTTCCCCCACAGTCCAAAGACATGCGGTACAGGTGAATTGGGTAGGCTAAATTGTCTGTAGTGTATGTGTGTGTGTGTGAATGTGTGTATGTTTGTTTCCCAGAGATGGGTTGTGGCTGGAAGGGCATCCGCTGCGTAAAAACTTGCTGGATAAGTTGGCGGTTCATTCCGCTGTGGCGACCCCGGATTATTAAAGGGACTAAGCCGACAAGAAAATGAATGAATGAGTGATAGTAATATACCTGTACATACACTTGTCAGTTTGTATATTTGCATTCACTACTTACTTCTATTTTTAAAATATATTTAGGGCTGCAACAAAGAGTCGATTCAATTGATAAAAATCGGTTACTAAAAGACTTGGCAACGAATTTCATAATTGATTTGTTGTGTCGCGCGACACGGGGATGTTAGTTCAGCGCAGAGCGGAGTGAACACGGTCTCTCTCGCGCACTAGAGTTTGGCACCTCATAGACAGGGCTGAGGAGGAAGGGAGTTCAACAGCACGATCTTACTTTTGTTCCGTTTTGAAGTGAGGACCAGAAAGTCCCTGGTGCTGATGTTTTACTCTTTATCCAGCTTGACAAGCATGACAAGTTAGCGTCAGCTCGTTTACCTTTAGAGCGGCAACTAAAAAACTCAAACTGAGCGATGGTGCAAAGTAAGAGAGAGGTCACGCTGAGCAGAGCTCTCAGTAGGGGACCATCAGAAAAGTGCTTCTTTTATTTATTTTTTTATTTTTTCTAAAACAAAACCAACTTAACCCTGCTGAGAAGGACGTGTCATTATCACAATTATACAGCATTTTAACCGCCTAATGCTTAATTTATATTTGAGACATGTAAATACACACGCTTACTAGAAAAACAAGACATTTAGAGCTTGTAAAACACACAAGGAAGTCTAACAATCCATTCAAATATAATTTGATGTGTTTTATTCATATCAGATACACATTACACATAGTGAAAGTACCTATAAAGTTGAATCTATTCTTCTCTAAGTTTACCATCCACTTACTTGCATTTATTTGGAGAGTAGCTGGTGAATTTACGTGCTGAATCCTGCGTGTTCTGCTTTTTATGAATGAGGCAAACGTGCGGCCGCAAGTAAAGATGGATGACAACCATCTCACGTTATAGATCACGATCACTTACACGTTTATGTGAACTGGTATACCAGCTCAGGGATGAGCTTTTTTGAATAATCGGTTGGAAATGAATGCTTTTTAATAATCCGATTAATCGATTGCTCGAAAAAATAATCGACAGATTAATCCATTATTAACATAAAATAAATGAAAATAAAATAAATGGTTGCAGCTTCAAATATATTTATTTTCTGTTTTTTGTCTTGTCTCTGTAAGTCTGTTGCACTCTAGAACCTCTGTCAGGAAAGAAATTCCTGGTATGTGTGAACATACCTGGCAATAAAGCTCTTTCTGATTCTGATTCTGACATTAGTCTTTTGAATATATTTTAGGCAATAGGCAAACATACACTGTATTAGTCAAAATTAGGGTGGCACGGTGGCTCAGTGGTTAGCACTGTGGCCTCACAGCAAAAAGGTCGCTGGTTTGAGTCCCCGCCAGATGGCATTTCTGTGTGGAGTTTGCATGTTCTCCCCATGTTGGCGTGGGTTTGCTCTGGTTTCCCCCACAGTCCAAACACATGCGCTATAGGTGAATTGATTAACTAAATTGGCCGTTGTGTGTGTGTGTGTGTGTGTGTGTGTTTCCCAGTACTGGGCTGCAGGGGCGGACTGGGACAAAAATTCAGCCCTGGCACTGTTGCCACATCAGCCCACATTACCACACCGACACAGCCCC